AAAAAAAAAAAAAAAAAAAAAAAAAAAAAAACAAAGCCGTCTTGTCCCTGCAAAGTCAATGCAGAAAAAGATGCTTAAAAAACCATGTCTATTTCCTCCAATAAGACGGCAAAAAGTGATCATCAGTTAACAGCACAAATGTTGCCATCAACTGCTAGTAATACAGAGCAATTCTTTTCTGTAATTCCAGAAAATTTTTCAATTTTGCATTGCCAATAGGTACGAAAAGAAAAGTACAAATATATTCTTTATTATTTATTTACTTATCTATTTGACCACTACCTTTTCAAAAAAACTTCCAATTTTTATGACGACTTGAAGGCGACAATAATTTTCCACTTATGATCAATTTCACACTCAATGAGACGTACGAAGGGTGTTTTCCTGAATCTTGGCTGAGCAAATGCCCAGCAGCAGTTTCATTTCCACCACAGATCGAAACGTCAACTACGGTTATCTCAACACAAACTACGAACTCACCAACTTCTACAGTCCAACTGGATACTGATTTATCAACTTCGTAAGAAAAAATTACTGTTTTAAAACTACTAAAACTACTATTCAAAAAAGCGTCTAGAGCTATCACATCATTTACTGTAGAGAGCAATCGACAACTCAGCCAACATCAATTTTGAAAATATTGAAACCTACAGAAAAAAAAACGACTACTTTTGAAGAAGTCACAGAATTACCGGTAGCTACAACTTTATCAAACGAACCTAAAAAAACTACTGGGAAGCTGTTTTTGACAGGATCTTTTTATGCTAATTTATTATACTCTAAAGAGAGAGCTGCAATTACCAGTCCAGAAAGATCAGAGACTGCTATTCCGTCATACTCTTATAAGTCAGAATTTCCAGCGGAGCTCTCCGCCAGCGTAATTTTCCTGAAGAAAGCAACGATTTCCCGTTTACAAGATGCTGCTCCACTTTCTTCTGAAACTAATGCTTTTAAACAAGCATCTGAACCTGCATCATCATCATATTCACGAACATCATCTGATATTTCTATCTCCTCACACCGTGTACAACCGCTGGAAAGTACGACATCGCCTTTTAAAGAAACATTTACAATTCCAACAGTTTTTTCCTCTAGAACAACATATGAAACAATTATTTCACTAAATTCTGGTCAGTCCTCAAAAACAAAAGAATTATCCGATTCAGAAAAGAAATTAACGAGCACATCGCCTCGAACCAGCCAAAGATCAAAAGAAGCTTCAGTAATATTAACAAACAGTCAAAAAACATCCGAGAATTTTAGAATATTGACTACTACAGCGACAAAAGATACTTCCACGCTGACAAATGTTGGGGCACAATTTAAAGAGTCCAAGCTACCAAGCACGTTTGAAACTTCGGAACTACCAAGCACAACAAATACACAAGTATTGCTAAGTGCTTTGAAGATTTCGCAAACCGTAACGCCATCTAAGAGCTCTTCCGCAACACTTTCAAAGGTCTCTTCAACATCTAATGAAACGTGTGTCAAAGTAACTGAGACATTTGCAGTTACAACACTTCCGTATCTGGCAGTTACCAGCAGTACTACAATTACTTTAACTTCTGCAACAATCAAGGCAAAAAATTCAGAGTTCTCAGAGAAGCTGTCGAAATCCTTATCACCCATAACTGTAGCAGGAAGCACAACACCGGAAACAATAAACATTTCATCGGAATACTTAGATAGTTTCCTGAAAACCACTTTAAAGAGACCATCCTCGTATGATTCACAAAATCTCACTGTGGCAGACAAATACAGTAGACTGCCAAAGGATTATACAAGGACAGAAATTACTCGTGATCAAACTAATGCCACAAAAAGTGAAAATACTGAAATGACCTTTGCAGAACAGGCTACGAGGGAACCAACGAGAAAAAATTCAATAAGGGTTACAGAAGAAGTTCCCTCCTCTGACGGAATATTTTTGTACCTCAAAAATATAAGCACTGCATCGTCTTCTAACTACTCTACCAAAGTGGTCTCTAAGGCTGTCACTCTAAATGAGGCTTTTGAGTCTAAAACAGCCCCTACTGTTGATGCCTCTGCCACCACCGATGACAGTGCAATAAAGAATCATACCGGCTCTGATTATGTTGGCAGCAAAAGCACTGCTTCAGCCCATTCAACAGAGAAAACCATAAAAGACGTTTTAAAAGGACTGGAACTAGAAAGTGACACAACAAGCGAAGGAAGCATGAAATCTGTTTCATTCTTGAAACGCTTCAGCACGAGCGACCAAATCAGGACAAAATATGAGACTCAAAAAACACCAAAAATAAATTTATCTACTTCGCAGAATTTTGAAGCACGTGCCCGTACAAACTCTGAGTCATTATCAATGTCCAAGCAAGCTGATTTCCACAACGCACCATCGACACCACGAAATGACAACTCAATTTTAAAATGGAAGTCCAGTAAAGTTACAAATCACACTAGTTCTGATTATGTTGGCAGCAAAAGCACTGCTTCAGCCCATTCAATAGAGAAAACCATAACAGATGTTTCAAAAGAAATGGAACTAGAAAGTGACCCAATAACCAAAGAAAGCATGAGATCCGTTTCATTCTTGAAACGCTTCAGCACGAGCGACCAAATCAGGACAAAATATGAGACTCAAAAAACTTCACCAGAAATAAATTTATCTACTTCGCAGAATTTTGAAGCAGGTGCCCGTACAAAATCTGAGTCATTAGCAATGTCCAAGCAAGTTGATTTCCCCAGCGCACCATCGACACCACGAAATGAAAATCCAACGTTTAAGTGGGAGTCCAGTAAAGTTACAAATCACACCAGCTCTGACTATGTTGGCAGCAAAAGCACTTCAGTTTATTCAACAGAGAAAACCATATCAGACGTTTCAAAAGGACTGGAATTAAGAAGTGACACAATAACCAAAGAAAACACGAGATCCGTTTCATCTTCAAAACGCTTCAGCACGACCGATCAAATAAGAACAAAATATGAGACTCAAAAAACTTCACCAAAAATAAATTTATCTACTTCGCAGAATTTTGAAGCAGGTGCCCGTACAAAATCTGAGTCATTAGCAATGTCCAAGCAAGTTGATTTCCCCAGCGCACCATCGACACCACGAAATGAAAATCCAACGTTTAAGTGGGAGTCCAGTAAAGTTACAAATCACACCAGCTCTGACTATGTTGGCAGCAAAAGCACTTCAGTTTATTCAACAGAGAAAACCATATCAGACGTTTCAAAAGGACTGGAATTAAGAAGTGACACAATAACCAAAGAAAACACGAGATCCGTTTCATCTTCAAAACGCTTCAGCACGACCGATCAAATAAGGACAAAATATGAGATTCAAAAAATCTCAACAGAGGTAATTTTGGTTACTTTGCAGAATTCTGAAACAGGTGCCCGTGCAAATCCTGAGTCATTCTCAATATCCAAACAAGTCGTCTTCAGCAACACACCATCAATACTACTAAATAAAAGCCCAACGTTTAAGTGAGATTCTAATAAAGTTGCCGAGCTGACAGCTTCAGCACGAAGCAGCATTAACAGGATTACTTCAAAACCATCAGAAAAAGTTGTTAAGAAATCAACCGTTCAATTACAGGCAACTCAAGTTGATTGGTCTACGGGACTGCGCAGCCACAGTAACGCTATGACCCAAAATTTAATCAGTTATGGCCTCGAAAATCTTTCTTCGACCTTAGCACATCAAGAAAAAACCACTAAAAAAAGCGAAGTCAACAGTACAACTGGAAGTTTGCCGACAGCCAAAAGGTTCCTTGCTTCACTTAAACGTATAGCGACAACATCATTGTCTGTTAAAAGAACTTCAAAACAGCAGCTGGAGCCAATCTAATCTTCAGTTGAAAAAAAATTAAGTTTACCAACTGTTTCCACGAAAACACTTTACAGTGCAGTCCCAGATAACAAAGTGGCTGTTCAGGACGTACGCACAGAAAGCTTATCATCATTATACTCTTTAAAAGAAATGCCGTTGTCGTCTTCAGTGTATGCAGAATTCACAAGCTCAAATCAGCAGTTTTTAACGGTAAGAATGATCTATTCCGGCGGCATTGATAAGCAGCTGCAAAGACGTTAGAAATTGTTTTGTTTTCCTAAAACAACTCTCATTTAGGAAATTTTTTTATTTGGTTCTTCAACAAAATCTGTAGTTAAAATAGATGCAACTTCCAAAAAAGGTCGCACGAAGGATCTGATACAACAGGGTCGGACTGGAATTACCACCGTTAATCCAGCCGCCGCTGTTTCGACATCGACACTACTACGAACGTCAAGTAGGCCTATCTAACCTGTTTTTGAGAGTGATTTTTGGAAGGAAACTAATTATCTGATACAACAGCATCTACACCTAAAAATGTAGTCCAGTATCGCGGCTATAGATAGAGAGATTTGAAGTGGGGGGTCTAGAAAGAAAGATTTTATAAATGGTGATAAGTTCTGGTTCTTATAAGAACTTTACTGCAGAACAACGAAGTCAGATCATTCGCGCATAGTGAAGCGTCATTTAGAAAAAAATTTCTAATTGTTCATCGCTAATTTGAGCAAACAACATATTGTTCGTTTTTTCAAAACCTGACTTGAGATTGTCTGCATAATGTTGCAATATATCAGCTTCGTTTTTTAGGTTATTGCCTTAAATATAAATTAGCCAATTTTGCTACGCCACAGATAGTTTTTGTAACTGCCTAAACAGTTTCAGTTTATGTCAAGCTCTGCCTGCTCATACTGTACTTTAGCAAGCATACTATTTGTTTAAATTAGTTTAGATAGCAAAGTCGCATGACTTGTGACATATTGGGCGGGAAGACTTGACAGTCGCATAAAAAAATGTTCAGAGCTTAGAAAATCATCTTTTATACAATGGATACTAGGACAACTGAGAAATCTTGAGGAATATATCGCGTTGTACTGCAACTCTGTGTAAGCAAAAAATTTAAAAATTTTCCTCAGGACTTGTAAACTAACGACTTTTTGTTGCTACCGATTCACTGATTAAAGATTACCACTCCACTTTAATTGGGCAAGACGGGCGCATTTTTGAACGGTAAAAATTAGCTCTGAGGATAAATAGGGGTAGCGCTGCTTTCAAAAAATTAATTTCTTTCTATTTTGCCACTACAGTCACAGAATCTGTTCAAGGTACTAAAGGCTGTGAAATACCATGTCCATCGAGCGACTGGATTGAAGGTGAAGAATTCTGTTATACTTTTTTGGCTTCCAGAAAATTTAAAAGCTATGAAGACGCTCTCTCTAAGTGCCGGAAATACTTTTCTATGATAGGAAAGTCGGATTTAACATCACCGAAAAATATGCAGTTACTAAAAAATGCCAGGTCTTTTTCTTGAAATTTTTAAAAATCTGTATATGAGAAATTTGTTTAACTGAAATAGAGATAAGATTTGGGCCATAAAGACATTTTTTTTTATCTAAAAAAAAAAGTTTATTTTCAGAAAAAAATTTTTTATTTTTAAAAAAGAATTTATATTCATCTCATACTTAACTCTTTTAAGATCATATTGACTTGTCTCTATATTTATAACTTCAAAAATTTCTCGTTTTTTGACGGCTTTTTATCTCTGGTTGTAAAATTGCAAAAAGATTTTAATTCATTTTTGATCTAAGCTAAGCTTTTTCTACGAGATTTTTGAATTTTTTTTGCATTTTTTATACGATTGTGATTTTCTCGTGCAGAAAATGTTCTCGAGTGTCTCAAAATTAAACTATTTCAAGAAGAAAGTATTTTTGATAAGAAAATTTTTTTTTACTCTTTTTTCGACCTACATCTACATCGCTAACTGCATTTTCATACATTTCCAGCCCGTAATCTTTAAAAATAAATGAATTGAAAAACACAACATAGTGGTAAAGAACAGCTCTTTTTAGGACGGAGGATAATGATCTGGTTTTTATTTATGCCGAAATGACGAACAATTACAAGAGATATAAACAAGTGGAAGTCATTAACCTAACTAGTTCAACTTCTTATATGATAAAAGTACAGTACGTCGTTAGCAGTGACCAGGATGCTGGAGATGTGGATGCTGTGTGTAAACTTCCCAGTAAGTCGTTATGCAACTGTTGCATATCTTGTCTTTTAAACCGATTTTGCTAATTGAAAGTCCAAATATAGCTTACACATTATATTGCTATCCTTTTTCTCAACATAATGAATGATATCCTTATCCAATTACAGTTTTTGACGTCCCTTAATAATGATACTTTTAGAGTACTGCTCGGAACCACGTTGTTACTTTAAAGATTTTGAAACCAACTCTGACAAGAACGACTACATTGTCCTTCCAACTTATAATTCAGTTGCTCTTAATGACGAAGTATCATTATCTTGCACTGCCGATCCAAAAAACATCAAGCAGCTCAAATATTACTGCAATTCCGACGGGCGTTTTGAACCCTCCCCTTTGGAAAAGCTTTGTAAACCATCAAACATTTGGATCCCTGCTACCAGTAAGTGCTCCTTTCTTATTATTTATTCCTTTTCTTCTTGAATCTTTCTCAGAAGTGATGAATGACTGTTTGAAAAAATAAATTTTTGAGCTAGAAAGCCAGAACAAAAAGATGATACAAAAATTTACAAACAATCTTGCGCTGAATGCTACTTATTGGGTACTGACCAATGCTTGCAAATAGAAACAGAAAAAGTCCAATGTCTATGCAAGACAGGATGGTCGGTGAGCTGTTTTATAAGAGCATTTGCTTCTTCTAAAGCTTCTTCCTTCTCGGTTTTTTCCTTCCTAACCGTTTAAAAGCTAGAGAAAAGAAACTTAGAGTACAGAAGATAAGTTGCTGGAAATCACCGCGATTCTGTGCAACAGTCGACTGCGGCACTCACGGAGGTTGCGTTGAAAAGGTCGATCATGGCATCTGTCACTGCGAAATGGGATGGTTTGGTGAAACTTGCTCACTTGATGCAACGAACCTGTTCTCTCTCAAAGGCACTAATTTTACAGACCCAGATATGGAATTGCAAGTGCAGAAAATGGTATATATTAAGCACTTTTTATGAAACTTTCATAGAAAAATTACTAGCTGCTTATCTTAGATTCGGAACTATGGAAATTGTCAGTATGGCCTAATGTTCCTGGCTGTCGCCACATCAGTTATACTGCTACTCCATTATTATTTTTTCGCGGAAGTTGACGGCGAAGCAGATGTAGTTTTTATTGCCTGTTTCTAACTTCTTTATCTCAAGTCAAATGCTTACTTAAAGAAAAAGTAGCTGTCATGGGTGGCTACTTATTAAGCATATTGTTTATTTAAAAGCGTTAGAATATACGGTTGATTATTTTTTGAATACATTATTATCTGAGTTCAGTATCCCCACGTGATTCTGCAAAGCCATCGAATTCGAACGCTTCTGTTAGGTGCAGTATTCAGTCTTATGTTTCGACATCCTGGTTTTTTCAGTCTTGACGTCGTTATCGGAACTCGAGTGTACAACTTCCTCGTCAATGTTTTATTTACAACTGGTATCTCTATCGCTAAACTGATTTTCTTAAATTATTGTTTTTTCAAAGTAATATTCTACGTATTCAACATTGGAATTGCAAAAGTGCTGACGGTTTTTAAAAAACTTATAAGAAAGTACGATTTACTGCTCATGTAAAGTAATCAATTTTTTTCTTTTCTGGGTCGACCTTTCCTCTCAATTTTTTCTGCTTGTTCATGTTCAGAGCGGCATATTTGAAAGTGAAAGGAATATTTTATTTCAGGACAGTGTTTTTATGTGGCCGAAGCAAAAAATATACTCAACTTTATGAATGGCACACATATTAATGCTTGGGACAGTGAAATAGACAATAATTCTAAATTGAAATACCTAGTAAAACCTTATCCAGTTCATCTTTTCTACAAATATTTTCAACAAAATTTTAAAACATATTTACCTTATTTTCTGTTGTCAAGTTCACACCGTTCTTTAGATTTTGGTACAATTAATTTTTTTGTATTTGATAGCAACAACTCTGCTTCTTAATTAGTGGAAGTCGAAGGAAGTACTAGTTGCAATGAAAAAATCATAACAATTTTGCGGGAATGGATTACAGAAATACTTCAGCTTTGCTTCGCTCTCAAAGTTGCCACAGCACAGCAAGTGACTGACGCTTATAAAGGCCTAGCTTTTAGTCCTCTTTGTTCGTTCTTCTCAGGCGTTTCGGAGTGTCACTCCAGCTATATTTTATGTATCAAGCTCCTTCAAGTAGACTAACAAACTTACATTACGCAATTCCCAACGATTATCATCAGAAAACAGACTTTGGCAAAAAATTAGTACGCTGTTTTCACTACTGCATTCAGCATTTTAGAAATTGTTCCTAACTTTCCAGTGAAATAGAGTGGACACCTCAGCACACACAAATAGTGCAGTACAAGGTTTTCTTCTGTCTGTGCTGAGATAAATGGCCAAAGTTTCACCATGTAGCACTAACTTCACTGCTTGTCAATGGCTTTCTGAGAGCAGCTTGATATCATGTAAAGGCGATTCCACTTCAAACCTTGCACCTTCTTCAGCTGAAGTCTGGAGATATTTTTAGACTAGGTAGTCAGTAAAGTATAGTTTTGGATTAAAAGAACTGACAAGGAAGTCTGAGCAAGAGAATTTGGCATAAATGCGAATTTACTCCACAATTACTACATTACAGCGTCATCGACGATGAACGTAAACAGAATGCTGTAAAGGATGGTTTTGTGCCACAGGGCAGTGCAATGAGTGACGCAGAAGACGGCTGCCAAGTCATCGCTTTCCCCTCCCGGCGTTGTCGGTATTCTGCCGTCATTGACCGTGTTTCCGAGTCATTGTCAGTTTTTTGTTTACGCCCTTACCAGATCGCAACATTTAATCTAGGCGCTGAAGCTGTCAGTGTAAATGAGTCCCGCAATTACTGTGAAGTATATCAAAAAGAAGATATTTATGAACAGCACTATTTCTGATAGAAAATAAGGAAAAAATCAATTCGCAATTTTATTTGGACTTTTCAGAAAACAGTATTGCCTTGTTATGCTTCTGCGGTTATTGTGGTGTCTGCTACAACAGTTTTGAACTGGAATCATGTTACCACTTCATGGGCCTTACTGGGAGTTTTTGAGGAGGATTACATCGGTTTTCCACTTAGCATGATAATGCTGAATTTTGTAGCTGTCCTTATAGCGATTAGCGTTATTGAAAGTGCTTTCAATACTAAAGCGTGCGTGTCTTTTTGCCTTTTCTTCTTTAAAAAATTAGCTGCTGGTTTTCGTTTTGCTTTTAAAATACAACTGTAAACCTTTCATTGTTGACGATATTTCTCATGTTAGTTTAAACTTTTATTTTACTTCAGATATGAACCGGAATTGCATCTTAATGCAATAAAGTTTTATATCCATAAGCTACCGTATGAGCTCGGGAAGCGACTTGTTCCGCTAGAGAGGACACCGCCTTTCATAGTAGTTGGAGCTTCCCTGCATTTTCTCACTTGGTTCTTCATTATGTTTTCGACCAGTGACCTCTCTTCTGCAGCAACATCACTGTACGCATTCTTTGAAAGAAACCTTTCTTAAATTTTTGCAAATTATCCGCTTGCTAATTTTAAAAATTACTCCGTTTTTTAAGTTCGAAATGTTTAATTCATCTGCCTGTCTTTACCCCAACTCAGCTTTGCACCTCGTTCGCCCGGTCTCCTACAGTTTGTAAATTTTTGTCATTTGGACTGCAGAGTCGTTGTGTTCGCTGTAAAAAGCTGGTTTATGCTTTAGATACGTTCAAAGCTAATTTTTTTTGAGACCTCTTTCTCTAAACCGTTTGAATATTACTGTATTTCAGATGTGGAGCAGTAGTGTTTGTTCTTTATGGGATATGCATTATTTTACAAACTCTGCTAACATTGTCGCCTGTAAGAAACTAAAAACCGTGAAGCTTAGACTACAGCTTACTATTATTTTAACGATCTCAAATATACTCGAGCATTTACTCCGTACCTAATAAGAGGCTGGCTATTTTTTGCAGATAAACAAGTATGCTACTATTATAACTATGATGTTATTGCCAAAAGGACTGGCTCCAAAATTTGAGATTAACGATATGAAAACTCGAAAAGAGGTTCTCGGTGAGTGGAGCACAAGCAAATACAGTTCAGAAAAAAGAGCCGAGACGAAAATGGTAGAAAGTGTCAGAAGCAACTACTCCCAGCGACAAGAACTCAAAAACAAAAATTTATTTGCTAAAGTAAAAATCTTGAATGAGCTTGGAATGCATTTGCTATGAGTATTACTTTAAGGGTCACCGTATTTAGTTTGGAGAACTGCCGCGTGAACTGACATACCAAGTGCCTGACGATCCTCCTTTCGCGATAACACCGTTTAACCAATTCTCGCCTGGTGACCCAAAATATATGCCAGCATTTCACTGTCAGATGCTGTGGAAGCGACTCACAAGCTCCTACGTCTCTCATCGACTGAATGGGTTTTCTCAAGAGGAAGCTTTAAAAGTTTGTCAATTTTACACTTTTTCTCTAAAATAACCAATGACTGCAGTGCCAAGATAAATAAAAGAATAGTTTTTCCTCTTTTTCAATGACTTTTAACAGTTTTTCTAGTATGCTAAAGATGTTGATTTTGAATATGACGATTACGGGGAAGAAATAACGTCGCAGAGGTTGTATGTTGTGGATCGGTGGATTTCTGGTATCCGTTATGCTGATAGGATACCTGATAAAGTTAACCCTGGGAAAGTTAGAGCTAAAAATTTAGTTTTTTTAAAATTTCACTAAATATTTTTTTAGCTTTATAAAGACTTCACTTTGCAATAATTTATGTAAATGTTAACATTATAATTGACCAAACTTGCGTTCTTTTACCGCAAAACTGCTTAAAAAATTTATTTCTTTTGTTTGATACGACGTTTTTCAGGTTAAAAACTCTCTGCCCACAAAAAATTTTGATTCAGGCCAAGAAACTTTTTTTCAAAAGCTTGTTTATAGAGACGGCGAAACAATTCCAGCACTTATTCGAAGAAGTCCTGCTGTAAAATTAAAATTTCAAGTAGGGTACTTTTAAATTTTAGTCTTCGGGCGTGAAATTATATCTTTTATTCTACTCTTATTTAGAAAGCTGGAAGCTGCCGCTGAATTAAGATACACACATCTCAATAGGTAATTTAGGAAAATGCCATGTTAGAAGCTTTTGGTACCGAAATGGAGGACAGAAATGAACCTTTCAAAGCTTTGTACTTTAATGATCCGATTGTTGAACACTTGGAGGAGAAATACGGCGAAGACTTGATAGACGAATTGCTGGCACGAATATTTTCTTTTCTTTAACTTTATCTTTCAATTTTAGAAACTTACAAACCTCGTTCTACTGCCGTTTAATCTGTTGTTGCTGCCTCAAACTGGTTGCCTCTTTTTTCTCTTGAAAACTCAATTTTAGAATGTTCAACCCGAGTTCCTTAAAATTTCGTCGTGTGATTCGCCCAGCAAAAACATTCAAAAGAATCCGCGCAAGCGACCAATCGATGAATTTTGGTTTGATCCAGAAGTACCCGGATTCGTGGGTCCTCAGAAAAGACCTGTATGGGATACTTCATTTTTCAACCCGAACGAGCGCTCAAAAGAGTTTTTGAACAAAATACTGGAGATACAGTGGAATGAACAATCCGAAGATAGCAGAGAATATATAATGGCGAGGAAATGTAGAAGTAAGTTCCTTTGCTTTTTTGCTAGTTCTGTGTTTCGATTTTTATAATACTTTTCTTTTAGAGGTGCTTATTTTTGCTTTGGAAAAATTTCATAGAAATAATTTATTTCTCCTTTAAATTTATTTTTAGTTGTAGTCGAGTTTTTTTAAAAGCTTAAACTTCTAGACTTAGGATTACGGCCCAGAAAACATAAAGTATACTTTGCCTCAAGCGTTTAGTGCTTTATACACAGCATGTCGTTAACATATTATATGATAACTGTTATCGGCCTAGCGTTGACTTTTAGAAAAAAGTACTGTTTGCTCTTTAAGATAATCGGATGCGGCAGTTAATCAACATTTTTTTGTAAAAGAACAGTGAGCTCCGTGTACGCGTTTCCGTAACGCGCACAAACGTTTTGACACTGGGAACAAACAGTTGGAGCAGCTGCCAACAACCAGCTACCATGCAGCAGTTTAATCGACGGATTTTATAAAAAGAAATGGACCTTAGCTCCACAACGTCAACTTGATTATTTTTGGCTTCTAGTCTTATTGTATAGAAGTGTGCTCAGAAGTTATGAAGACACTGGTTCTGACCACTGCTTAACTTTCACGTAGCGACTGATCCATACAAATAAACCTATTAATAACGTACGCTTACTCAGATCTTTCGTTGCACCGTTTTTCCTGATAAGACAGTGGCATTTAGGTTCCTCAAAAAAATATTCCATTCTTCACTTCGAAAAATCATATAAAATTGAAACTGTCTACCACTCAATATAAACCAGCTATATTTGAAGCATTGAGATTTGCAAATACAGATATGGCTTCATCCCTCTATTTTTAAAAAGTCCAGATGCAATCAAGCAGTAACGCTGGCAAAACAGTACTGAAAACTGTAGTCATTTATTAGAGCTTCACATTGAAAAAGATGGTGCTGACAAATCCTGTAAATTCTACTTTCGTAAGAAATTCTGTTTAGAAATAAACTACCTATAAAAAATTGGGAAGTACTTAATTTTGATGTATCTTCCTTTGCCTCTGTTTTGCTCGTAATGATTGGCGCCGACTACATAGTCACTCGAATCTCCTATGCGGATCTTCACACAAGCGTTGATGAATGACATTTCATTCGTTACCTCAAACTTGGGTAATTAAACCTCAGTAAATAGATGCAATCATAAAAGAATGACAGAAGCCATCTGCACAAAAGAAAGAAATAAACCAGATTATCATCACACCTTCACTTCCCCATCTTTTTATTGCTTTTTCTCCTTCTTATTCTCATCGTCGGCCATCCATTATCATTGTTTCTTGTTATTCCTTCCTGATAAAAATCTTCTTGATCCAAGATTTCTAAACTGCCGGTGTAATTTTTTTTATTTACTTCTGCACCCCCTGATTACGATTATCTATTATTACTCCCGGTCTCTAGCAATAATACGCTTCTACGACGGGTTTATGAGAGCCTCTTTATCCTCGCTTTTCAGCGACACTACTTATCAAATACAACAGAGGTTAACATAAGTGTCTCCATTACAGTAGTGAGCCCAATGCAGACAGCAAGATATTCGTATTACAGCTACCGACCCAATATCTAATTGAAGTATGACTATCGTAATCTTCTTTCAACTATGCCCTACGAGGAATTTGCTTATTTTTATTCCCCTATTGTATTCCTAATCAATCCTCAGGATATAAAACAGCTAATGACTGTAATTTTGCCAATTTCCGCTGATAACGTTTCGATGGACAGTATTATCACTCAAATATCTACTCAGATAGTTTGACCTAACAGGGTTATCTTGAGAAACAAACAATTAATGACGTTAAGCCGCCTTTATTTTCTTGATGTTCTGGAGGAATTGCTGTAAACAAGCACTAAACTGGTCCCACGGATTAGAAAGAAATAAAGACCGAAGGTAAGATACAAATTAAATATAACAAAAACACCAGACGAAATAGTAATCGGCGAGGAAGCACTAAATTTGAAGAATCGCTAGAAAAAACTTGAATAATCGAACAGAAACAACAAAAAACAAATACAGTAAATTTAAGATGTTATTAATTTATTAAAATGACCTTTCTTTCACAGAAGCGTAGAGTAAGCTCTCTGCGGTGTCCTGTTGCTTACTTTCCATGACTTTTGTTCACAGGGACCTAATAAGTGCTAATTGTTGTATTTTGTCTTATTAATTACAATCCACCTTCCGTCTTACTGGCTCTCCAACCTCGTTTCAGTTGCTTAAAAAACTATTTAGCGCAAGAGAACTGGAAAACTAGCTTTATTCTCTAATTAACAACAATCAATCCAAAGTGCTGATAATACGTGACATGTTCCAAAATTCAATTAAAAAAAAGAAGACAATTGATTAAGACTAGGGTAAAACTAAAATAGTCACGAAGCAACAAAGAAATATAACATCAAGAAAACTAAGCCTTGAAAAAAAGTAAAAAAAAAACAAACTGTGAAACTGCCAAATCTTGAAGCGAACAAAAAGGTTTAAAACTGCTGTAGTCAAGAAATAAAATCTTTCTTTTACTTTGTATGGAACTTCAGAAAAAATTTTATCTTTTTTGTATCCCCCAATCTGACCGCTTTACCTTTGATTTTTTTAACTAACTTGACCAACTTACTTGCTTTCACGTGAATATTCAAATTCTAGAGATTTAGTGTACTTTTATGTTTGTGTAGAGTTATTCGAAGTGTTTAATAAAAAGTGCGCTTCGTTGTGTTGCGAGTTGCGAGTCTTATGTACAGTGGTTTGTTTCCCTCTTGCCATCTGACTATGTCACATATTTACTGTTAAGGCTTTGACTAACCGCCTCTCCTCCAGAAGCGTCTCTTCAGGGAAACGTTGATGAATTTTTTTTTGATCCCACTATTATACTGTTGTCGTATTATTCTGGCCATAGAATTTTCGCAGTTCCCCTAAATCAGACGAAATAGATTACTGTTCTTTTCTTGTTATTTCTGCTAAGATGTTAAAGATAGTCGGAAAAAGTCAAGAGCTGAGACGATACACTAGTAGCGACTATAAAAATGGGATCAATTCAGATACACATAAAATCTCTTATTGCGACTCAGCCGACAGAAGGATGTTATACAACGGCCGATGATATTACTTCGTGGCTAGCTGAGTTTGATATTTTTGTTATGAGAAGAGTAAAGGATCTTACCTATTGAATCCATTGTCTTCTATGATTTTTAAGCATTTGAGGCATTTGTGAAACTTCAAGAGATAACTTGGATTTTGTACAAAGATATAAAGCTAACAGAGATGTATGCAACAGAATCGCGCCTCTTTTCTGAAAAGCATCATCTTTTTCATCTCAAACAGGAAGCAAAAACTAACCTTAAGCTTGCAATAATGATTAAGAAAGAAGGAGTTTTTGTATTGTAAATTGAGTGATTTCTATCTGTTTGCTCTTGCGTAGGTACTTACTGAGAGTACAAATGATTCATGACTACGTGAGAATTCTTGGGATATTGAACGGAGGAGCAAGTATTGGCCATTACACAGAAAAATAAGCAGATCACCACAGAGACAAGTCGCATGAAGGCCCAGAGTGTCATTCACCCTTCACAAATCACTGCCTTCTCAAATATACACCTTCTTTGCCGCAGATAGCGAGAGTTACGCAAATTCACGAAAACTGAATATCATAACTGCCAGCGACAGGATCACTTTGCAAAAGTTTGTGAGACAAGAAATACTACGGGAAGAAGATAAATTTTTGGGTTGAGTGGTAGTGCTTCATATACTGTAAGCAGTCCCTAAAGGATGTTAAACTCAGCACACGATGGGTCAAAGAATGAAACGAACAAACAGCACTTTTTGTTACTGTGGAAATTGAAGCACATACGATAACGAAGCAGATGAATACAGATCCTACGAAAAAGTACATAGCAAAAAATTGAACCTCCTTTACTTCTAGCTATCTGTCCCTCTCTTAAAAGTCTTCGCACAGTAAGAACGACAGCCTTCGTCTGATATTCTTTGGTATTTCGCGCAGATTTGCAATAATTTGCCCGTCTTTTCTTTTCAATGTGCTTAATACGCCCATCTTCTTAGCAAGGAAATCATACTACGCCTAAATAAACGCAGTCTATGGAAATTTGGATTAGAAGGTGAAGTGAAGCCAACCAATTTCATTAAGTGAACAACAAGACTGCAAAAGCTTGTTAAAGAAGAAAGATCAAATTCAATTTTTTGGGTAGAGCAAAAGCCATAGTTAGTAAATGAAAAGTACGATCCACATCAAATTTCAACCCTTTTGTGACCGACAATCTCGGAAGTAAAAGCTGGAAGACTTTTTAAAAAATAAAAGGCATGTAGAAAATACAATAGGAAAAATACCACTTTTGTACGTTTACCAGCGTTAGCATCCACAGATTAGTGACTACTAAGTTGGTGACCAGATTTCCACAAATAAATGATCTCCAGAAGGAAAAAGTATCTAAGTGGTCTTTGTTCCACAGGAGCCTACGGCGTGGTCCTTCTGCTCATTAACTAATACAGAGCAATTTAAATACAACATTTCTTGTCAGCGATAAGAACTAGCTTGCCAACTGGCTATCCAGTACTAAAATTAGCAGTCGTCAGAATAATACCCAACTTAATGAGAAGCACATTGACTTCTTTTCTGTATTTTTATAAAATAAAAAACATTGATTAGAAATCACTTTTTGCATCCAGCCAATCTGGACATGAAAATCAACCTTAATACCAATTTGTTCTGACGTACGGTCAACGACCGAAGGAAGTCTCAAGAACACTATTTGAACACCGGCATATCACAGTACTCTGCAATATTCGTATTCGTACGTTACAAGTATTTGAACTCAGAAGTTTGTAACATACCAGCCAATTATCCCCATCTTAAAACAGCAACGTATTTTAATGCCACACTCAAAAATTTGGAAATCAAAAATTATTGTTTTTTTAAAATCAAATTCTAGTCTGAAATTAATTACTGTTTAAACCTGATGGCAGTATTTTCTTTTGTGCCAAACTCCTAGCTAAAATGAATTCTCGCTTCATACTTAATTTCATATATTAGTAAATTGAATGGAGCTAAATGCAAACTGTAGTGCAAGCTACTACCATGCTGCGTTGACAAAAACTGATTTTTTAATTTTCAAATCACAACAATTGGTAGCACACACTTATTACAAAGAAACTAAAGATGCACAGGTGAGGCGCATTACTTGCAGTGACTCGCCATTCTTATAGAACTGCTCTGCTTAGCTTCGAAATATCGCAGATTTGACCAGAAATGACGCGCACGTGGGAAAGATTTGCAAAACAAAAAAATTTGTCATTACCTGAAACTTGCCCTTTATCTCTCAAAGAAAGTCGTAAACCTCGCTAACGTTAGTCGACTAGGCTTTTATAGAGTGAGACTATTGGTAGCAAGAGTGTTCCATTCCTTTTAACATCTACCTGCACTAAACACCAGGTTGATAGCGAGTGACGAGCTAGACCTAGCGTATCTTTTGTCAAATGTTGATCACCACATGACACTGCAGCAAGCTTAGAACTCTTCTTGTAGCATACCGCCAATATTACAGCCAATTCCAAATCCTATTCTACTAAATGCTAAAGTCTAACGTGTACAGGCGTTTGAGAAAAATTGTATAAGAAATTTTTTTAATCACAGAATTGCTCTTTCGACAGAATTAAAGACATTATTAAAGCAAGACAAACCTTAAATATCAAATTTCTGGGAATTCATTAGTTTCAGGAGAAATGAAGTGAGGATAGCTATGCATTCTCGGCGAACCAACTCTGTACAACGATACGTTTGATAGTGAAAAACCGTTTTTTTAGCTACCACACTGAAAGAATCACCTGCACAGAACGCTGAGAAAAAACTATGGTTAATTGATACTATACTCAACTTTCCTCAATCATTAACAGTAAGGCAACCAAATGCTTGCTTGTAATAAATAAAAAGCTTACCACAGAGCAATCCTTCAAAAATTTCAACAAATATATGTCAATGGCACCGATTATAACGCACTGCGCAATTGTTCAAAACAGCGTTCACATTTAACTATTCGAAGACGCCTTTTTAATAAACCGAACTGCAGCCGAACATCACTAGCAGCTGAACTGTCCGAAATTAAACTGGTCTTGTGTGTCACGTTGAGATAGCATGGTAAAGGCAAATACAGTACTTTGTCACACTTCAGTCTCGAGATGTACGGTGCACCGGCAAAAGTTAAATTTGAGAATTTAGTTCTACACCTGGGAAATTCTTCATTCTCACACAATTTTTTGCAAAAAATTCATCACATAAAATTAAAAAACAAATTAAAAAACATTTTGTGTCAGAAATACGTGTACTTATTTGACCTTCAAAAGACTGCTTATTTCGTTGGTTCATTCAATAATGAAGTATTAGAAATTTCATCAATTTAAATTACAACGAATGATAATAACAAATAAGCTTGTTCAATACATTTTGAAATAAAATTAGGCAAATAGTTGCAGAACTCTTTCAGTCATTGTTTAAAAGAAAATAGCATGCATAGAACTTTCGCTTGTTAATTATAAGACTGTGTATTCTGAAAAGTGCAAGACAAAAAATGGCTTTCTTGAAGAAATAAGTATTCTTGAAAAATTTACTACAAATTAACTAAAACAAAGTCATTTGACTCTCCTGATTTTTTCATACCACCTTGTATGCATCTATTCCAACTTCTCTATTTTGAATATACTGTCTAAAATCTAATCCCAACCTCTGAAATAGACGTAGGGCATGCCTGCCTAAAAAGAAAACAAAGATCCCACGAGTAACCTGAAGCAAGAAAAAAATTTCTTTTGAAACACCGCTTTCGTATAAACTGATTCACTTTAGATGGTTCTTAGTTTTGATCAGATTCGCATTGCTTATTAGAACAAAACTACCCCCTCCAACGCGCTACTACAAAAGTTAAAAAAATAGAGATCTTAATAAACGAGCATATTTTACACCATTCATAACGACCCCTATAACCACCAACAGCAGCAACAGTGACAGGTAAAGTTGAAGCGATAACAGCAGTCAAAACAATAATCATATCTGGAACGGCAGCCCAGATTTGCTCTAATCATTCCTTTTGCTGTCACTCGTTCTCTTTCGACGATTATTGCATAATTCAACCACAACAGTTGCACCAACATACTTACAATTAGTGTTTTCAACAGGCTTAAAATCAGAGTTGTTAACTATCCAAACATGGTGCCAAAATTCATGAACAGCGTTGTATGAATCATACCCTTGACATTCGCTGTTGTCGGCACTTTCATTCTGGATCCAAACTCTACGAAAATTACCATTTGTTGGCACGAACATATTCTTGGAGAGACCAGTGGGCGATGCAATATTTGCCACTAATATCCCACCAACAACTGAAAATGATACCACCTTTCTTTATTCGGATTCTTGCCGGATACCCCCAAAGAAATTAGAAAAGCTGTTCACTATGAACTCCTCCCTTAGGTTGCTCAGATATTTATAGTTTCCACTGCAAAAATGTCCCTCTCACGAAATGTTCAACTCATGAGCTTTCAAAATGGGAAAATATGAAAAGGCTCTCAAAAAAATTCACTAATAATGTTCAGTGTTATGCAAAAAATAGCAGAACAGTATATATTTAACACATAACATAAATGTAAGACCCAATGTAGTGGTAGAGAAGCAAAAGTAGAAACAGTAGCAGAATATTTGGTATATATATATATATATATATATATATATATATAT